GGAGCCTGTGCAGGGAGTTCAGGCTGGGACCCTGGTCCAGCTTCTGCCCTCCAGGGATTACTTTTAAGTCTCTTTGTTTTGGGTTATTTATTACAGCAGCCCCAGGAAAACCCTCACAAACTCTGCCCGGCCTCAAGTTGTTTGAGAGGGCTAAGACCCTGTTTTTACTCTTGGAAAGGAATCATGTTTGGTGCCGAGTTCCGGAGCTCTAAGAAATTTCATTTGCACTGGTCGATTTTAAGTGAATTATTCCCCTAAACTGCACACACACACAGCACCACACCACCACCCAAACCGCACTCTACCTCAGTGTATGGTTCCCATAGCAACCAACATCCCCGATGCCCAGATCATCTGCCAAGATCAGCAGGATGTTTGGCTTGGAGGCGTTGGGTGATTTCGGCTCACAGGTCTGCAGAAGCCAACATACAAGGAGGAGAAGCAGCGTGGAGTCCCTGCAGAGGAAAACAAAAGGCAGAAAATAAACGTACAGGATTTGGGATGCAAAATATACACCATGCACATGTAGATGTCAGGGGTCTGGGGAGGGCTTGAACGGCACTCCTATGAGGCCAACTGAGCCCCGAGAGAATTATCCAGCTGTGGGAAGCCTCTGATTTTGCACAGGGTCCAACAGCCCATGGCGAACCAGGGTGGAGTCCCTACTGCTAATGGCCACACAATCAAGATGACGCTGGGAGGCCCATTTCCTCCCTGCACCCAAACTGGAGATTCTCAGCAAGCAATCAGAACCTGAGCCCTCAAAATAAGAAGGTTCCCTCCACTTTAACCCCGGGACACATTCCAAAACTCTCAGAGGAGGTAGACAGTTCAGCTAGCACCTAACCCTAGTAGACTACACTTGTGCAGTATCCATAGACGCCTGTCATAACGTATGATTCATAATCTAGGCACAGCAAAGGATTAACAGGGCAAATCATAACCAAATAAGACAGTTGTAACAATGTGCTGTGACTTACAAGTTTTGCACTTTCTGTTTTTTTCCCCACTTATTTTTGGACAGTCGGGAACGGAATCCTGGCAGAGTTCTGACCACTAAATTAAGGAACAATCACTGAGTGCATTTGTGGTGGTGACCTTTTGTCGCTACCAACACACCGGCGTGACCCTGGAAACACCCTTTCTTGTTGTGCAAGTCGTGGTCTCTTTGAGTTTGTGTTGTCGCTAAATGGGTCCTCTGTGTTAAGGTCATTGGAGCTCAACTCTCAGTAAAGCGCGGGCGAACTTGGTGAGAGTTGGGACTCAGAGTCCCGGGCCTGCCGTTTGGGGTCCTCGGTGGGTCAGGAGATGGCTGATGGTTGGCAGGCGCCTTGGCCCACAGTGCGCGGAGCCAAGGCTGCGCTAAGCCGCAGGCAGGGCACTGGGAGGACAGGACCAGCAGGGACACTAGGATTTTAAACCACAGATGGGGGATTCACAAAAACCCCAGAGGCCAGTGCAGCCGGCAGAGAAGAGAGTCCCTACTAGGAGCGTCACTGGCGGGTCCTGGGCTCCACCCGCCCTAGGACCTAGAGGGAATCAGTTGTCCAGGACGCGCTGGGGGTGGGGCAACCGGGGAGGGCAGGAGGGCAGAGTCACTCTGACGTCACAGTGTGTGTGTGTGGGGGGGGAGGGTAGCCGGAGGGAAGGGGCGGGGTCTGCCGTAGATCTTGTGCGCCATGGGAGTGGGGGACCGGAGGCCAGTCTCACTGCTGCAGAGACGGGGACACTGGGAGGGCGCAAAGGGCGGACTGGAGGACCCGGAGCGGGTCCCGCGAGTCCTTGCGCTGGGAGGGGGACCCAGCTGTGGCAGGGGGCGGGGATGGAGGAGTCAAGTGTCCTCATCCTGCGGTTTTTAGTGGGCTGTGGGGGGGGTCATAAGGCCGTGCACAGCTGCGCTGGGGCGGGATG